CTATATAACATTTTAGACACATTCTAGACAGTTTATCAGCTAAAAAAAGTTAATTTTGGGTTAAGTTACTCTTTAATAAGTAATGAGAAATACCTTGGTAAAAGTTTCCTCATAACCTTGTGTATGAGAGATGTGGGAAAAGCTTAATTCACCTTAAGCTCACTCTTACACCAGAAAATAATGAACTTTATCACAATATGCTAATTATTTTTAGAAGGACCTGTATTTCGTTTTCATCAAAAGGCGTGGAGGCAGTTAAAAGAAAAAGAAGAAAATACTTGATGTAAAAAAAAAACAAAGGCAGGCAGGCTTGTACAAAGTAGAAACAAACCAGTTCTAACAAAAACACTAAATGGTACAATCAAACCATGATACTTTGGTACTGCTCAGTTTCTTGGTGTATAAATTTGTAACCAACAAAAGCAAAATAAATGACCTTGTATTAGTTATCCATTCACTGGAGAAAGGGCGTTCAAAACTCATCATAATAAGTGTCCAGTCTGATGCAAGAAGTATGTAGCAGCATTTATACCAGTGATGCTCAATCCTGGTCCTTGAAGGCTACAGTCCRGCATGTTTTAGTTGTTTCTCTGCTCTTCTACAGGTCTTCAGGTTCTGCAGAAACTTGTTAATCACTTATTAATGTGAAACAGGGAAACAACTAAACAGGCAGGATGGTGGCCCTCAAGATCAGAACTGGACACTCCTGATTTAGACAATCTAATTAAAATTGTTAGGACTAAAATAATTCAAAATAAGCCAAATTCTTCAGCTTCCTATAAAATGTGATTTTAGGTTTAATATTAACGCATGTTTAAGTTTTACTGTATTTGTGTCTTTGCAGTTTTCGGCCCTTCTGATGATTCTGGCTATTGCTGAAATTGTTGTTGGCGTCCTTGCTTACAGCCAACGTGCTATGGTAAGTTTAAAAAAATCGCCACTTTGTATAAGCTCCAAAAAGTTAGACTGTGATTAAATGTTTGATTTTTCATCACTAAGGTTGGAAGGAAACTGGGAGAGTTCTACACCAGCTTGTATATGCTGTATGTGAACAGTGGCGACCCAGCCATGGCCGTCACACTCGCCTTCATCCATAACTTGGTAAACTTCAACTTTCTTTCCATATGGGAAAGTAAACACAAATGTTTGTTGTGTTTGTTAAGATGATTCATATTTCAAAATTCAGCCTTTTTTTAAAAGTCACATTTTCCTGTGACTTTCGCCCTGTCTCAAGT